AAAATGCAAACAGCCTTATGTAGAGCCAGTGTTTGTTTTGTCCATTCTGGGCTACTGTAGAAACATGGCGGTTCAACATGGCGGCCTCAATAGAAGGTTATACATAAATTGCTTGTTCTGTTGTTGCAACATGGTCAGTAAACAGTGTTGCATAGTGGGCTGTAACATCCAATCGCACATCCAGCGAACAAAGATACCACTTCATGGTGTATTTATCTGAGCTCTCCTCTGTGCGCTCTCTCCCCCTCTCTCTCTGTACATTAGTGGTCAGATGTTATTCTGAACATCCTTACTGACAGTCAGGGCCCAAAATTGGTGGCACAAGATTGACGGATGGTCGGTAACTACATACACTGCCCCATAATGCTCCACTACACATTCCCTATAGATATGACAGTGGTATCATTCATCTCATTTAACTCTCAGCAAGGAAGCAAATAAGCGAATTGGAGCTTTGGGACAATCTTAACAGGCTGATGTTTAGCAGCTAATGTTGAAGTTTAAATGTAGAAGTACAGCTGAGACTGATGCCATTAGTTTTGCAGCTGTTTAGTGTAATCATAATTGAAAGCAGTGGACAAAGAGAGGTTTGACCTGATGGTGCTTGAGTAAAAAGGCTCAGGCTCACCAGAGTTATGACAGTTCATTCTTAGGGGGACATGGATGTTTTATGAAAATGTATCCAGTAGTTGTTGAGACATTTTACTCAGAAGCAAATATGTTAATCTCATGGGGGCGTTAGAGGAAAAGTCAGGCTTCATCTTCTGGGAACCACGAATGTCAAATTTCACGACATGACATGACATTTCAGGCAGGACCAAAGTGGTGGAACGACCTACCGAAACACCGACTGTCACTGCCATTCCTAGCATCCCTATAGAGTTAGTGTAGCTAAAAATAATAACTAATGTCTGTCACAAGTTTCCAGAGCCCAAAAAAGCTTTCAAATTGCTTGATTTGTCTAAAGAAAAACCAACCCAAATTATTATTAAAATCATCTGGAACAGAGAAAAGCAGCAAATCTAGCTTGTGTAACTATTTGGGAAGTTATTCAAAACAGACAATTGCAAGAGTAACTATGTGCACCTGTTCAGTTATATGAATAACAAGGGAAGGAGACCAAAAAATACAACCAGCTAAAAGTGCATTTGGTATTATTACCTGATAATGGCTTACTAAACGATTATATTGTCATTAATGCTGTTATTGTCATTGAATCAACATCTGAATATAAAATAAATTGACTAATCGTTTCAGCACAGAGGGAGAAAGAGGGGAATAGATATCAATGGTGTCATTTGGGGAAATGTTACAACAAAAATCTGAACACCAAACTTGTGTAACCACTTAAGAGCAAAGAGTTTGATAACGCTTCCAAAGCTGCATCACTCGACCTTGAGCCTTGTGTTTGTGTGTGTGTGTGTGAGTTTTTTGTGTGGAAGTTTGAGACCGATCCAAAAACTGAGCCAAAACGAGAAGAAAAGTGAAATCCTGTTCCCTCTCTGCAGCAATGGACCGAGCCTGTGAGGTGCATTCAAACGGGGCCTCTGAAATGTTTTTGTGTTGCAGGAGGAGATGAACCGAGGGAAGCCCAACTGGGAGCACCTCAGCGAGGACCTCCACGTCCTGATCACAGTGGAGGACACACACAACCGGGCCAAGATCAAGCTCCAGCGGGCCATCAACGAGGTCAAGAAACTTCTCGTGCCCGCTGTGAGTAACAGTCTGAACCTCTCAGCATCAAATATTATGGACTGGACTGATGGAAAAACTGTGTGTGACTGGATGAGGGTTCACTGTGTTGGTATGCATGGAAGGGGGAAGGGGATTGTCAGTCCAAAAAGTGTGTATTTGTGTCTTTTTTTGTGTTTTTGTGTGCGTCTCTGTGTGTATGAGAGAGTATGTGTAAGGGGTTAGGGTAATTAGGGAACACGCATAAAGGGGTTTCCATGGTAACCCCGGGTTGTTTGAAAGGCTGTGGGAATGAATGGAGAGTCTGTTCACTTGTTCTCCCCACTCCATCACTCCTTTCACTCGTTCACAACTCACTTCATTCCCAACTACTGGCTACAGTATTCCTTTTTCTCCCTGGTTTTTTTTTTTTTTTGTTGTTGTCCACACAAGAGGACATTTTGATTGCGCTCCTCAACATTTCTCACATTCTCCAGCCCACCTATTTCCCCCCCTACGGACACACATATGTGCATAAATGTGCACACATGGGAACATTGCGTAGACCTGGTATTATAGACCATATAGACACAGTGACACACATTGTTTAAATGATCCCGTCTTTGACACAGAATCACAAAAGCACATATTTTGAAATCACAAGGCTCCTTCCTTTTTTCTCTGTATTATTTGCGACAATAGAAACAGACTGAAAAGACCAGCAGGGGGATTTCTATTGCAGCAATCAGCCGTCACTTCCGCTCCAATCAGAGCGCAGCACAGGCCAAGTCTAAAAGTAAATGGATGTAATAAGTGTCTATAGGCAATCAGGAGCTGAACACCTGTTAATCTATGCCTGTGTGTGTGTGTGTGTGTGTGTGTGGAGGGTGAAGTTAATGATACGTGTTAGTTTAACCCCAGCTAACCTTGCTGTCTGACTGTAAATCAGTCAAGCTTTTCACCGAGCTGTAACTGGAGCTAAGAAGCTAGCGTGTTTGACACTGAATATGTACTGTTGGTGCAGTGGCTGTGTTCAAGGTCTGGTCAACTCCATTTCAGACAGTGTTTGAGTAAGCAAACATTCCCTTTAGAAATCATTCAAATTGAACTATAATTAGTTTCAGCATACTGTAACATTTGCTGACTTGTTGACCGGGGCTCTCACAAAAGTTAATTCATTCACTTGTCAAGAGGCTGAATGACAGTCCTTGCTAAGTAAGTTGATTGTTCTGCTCCATTTGCTTGTGTTGGTGTAGGCTGAGGGGGAGGACAACCTGAAGAAAATGCAGTTGATGGAGTTGGCCATTCTCAATGGGACCTACAGAGACGCCAATGTCAAGACGCGTAAGGATGACATCATAGTTAACATGTGGAGGAGGGTTGGTGGGTGACAAAGGAGGGGTCTTGGTACAGGAGTCCACTGTATATATGAACAATGCCTCTGTTTCTCCTGTTAAATAGTCTGTTTGTCCTCTCCTCTTCTTCCCTGTCTATTGTATGGGTGTGCGCTTTGCGTGTGGGTGTGCACATACTTGCATTATTTTATGTCCGTGTGCCGCACAGCCACCGCCTTCCCTCTAGGGACCCCTCAGGCGCCTCGGATCATCACAGGCCCGACGCCCGTCCTGCCTCCGAGCCTGCGTAACCCCGCCCCCGTCAACACACCGACCATCATGCCTCTGATTCGCCAGATCCAGAGCTCAGCCCTCGTACCAGGAGGCAACCCGCACCCGGCGCTGGTGCAGCAAGGGCCCGAATCTGGGATCATCTACACGCCCTACGAGTATCCCTACACACTCACGCCCTCCATATTGGAATACCCAATTGACTCAACTGGAGTTTTAGGTATTTAAAAATCAAACGTTCATCACTTTCATACATGGTCAATGGATGTATTATGAGAACTGGATAACGGACTCCAATGGAAGCTGCTCACAATCGCATACGTCAAAAAACCCTTTCGATTAGCGTCCAGCCCCGCCCACTCGTCGCATACACTTTACATTGAGATGACATTGCGCACAAAAAACAGCATTTCGTGGTCTAAAAATTTATTAAATTCTGTCTGCCATGCATAGCTAACTGTGGACCGTTTTATAGACATGTTTTATAATTAACATTTATGGTAAAGTTCTGCACTGACACTGGTCGAGACCTGAACCTGGCTTGTACCTACATCTATAGGTGTGTTCAGACAGAAAGTAAAGCAAATTTTCGTCCTGCATCATTTGAGCAGTCTATGTTTTTAAGTCCTGTAATGTACAAACGTTAGCTATAACCCAGCTAGCCACAGTGACGGTGTGTCTTTGTTTGTGTTCAGCACATCCTCTAACTGAACTCAGAGCTCAGCAGAAACTCCAGTTCTGTTATTTCAAGTAAGTCTCTCTCCTTTCCTTTTTTTCGTCTGTGTATGTTTATGTAAGCAGATTCACGAGATAAAAGCACAAAGTTGCTCAAGTCGAAACATTTCTCGTCACTTTGCGTCTAGTCGTGTCTTTGCGTGGACTTATTAAAATTGCCGCCTCTAAAATTCACCTTGTTTTCTGTCTAAAGAAATTGGACTGAACCAAAACCGTCTGCACACTAAACCCCTCTGGAACCGCCAAATTTGAGAACCAAATGTTAACATTACTTAATGTTCGCTCGCCAGGCGAAAACAACACATGGGCTACACTCTGTAACTTTCCCTCTTTCCCTTTTTATATTTATTTCTCTTTAATTAGAGAGACTGGCCAAAATGGCAGCGTGGGGGAAGTGTGTGTCTACTTGCAAAAAACATGAACTGCTACAACTCAAGAGTAGTTACTGTCCGAGAACGAAACGGAGACAATTCTTCACGAATTACGTTTGCAAACTAAACTCAACAGGAGCTGAGCCCAAATCTTAATGTGAGTTACAGCGCGAACGCGACAAAAAAAAACAAAAATATTTTCTGTTATTGTCGGGTTAGGTGGCAGAACTCCGAGGCCAACAGGGATAAATTGGCAGCCATATCCAGCTCTTGTAATACATCCACAACAAATTATAGATGAATGCTGAAGCTCATTGCTGGGCTAACAGTCCCTTCTTCCTGTGTTTTTGCAGGTATGGCTTTCCCAACCAAAGGCTAAGCGATAGCAACCCTTCCTAGCACACACATGGACTGGCTTGCAGAGACCCCACCCCCCTCACCTTTACCCCACTACATACTTGTCCCACAAAGCAAACACTCAAAGTTTGCTCATACTTTAGGATGACAGATTCCTCGACAGTCATACTGTAGTCAAGTGTCCATTCCTGTTAATTTCCTCTTTGTATTAGCAGACTAGTGTTGTGGTGTGACAGCTATTTAACTTTTTTTAATAGTTCAGCTTCCGCTTGTAATTTTAACACACTTTAGTGAACCCATAGATATTGTAGCGCCGCTGTTTGTGATTTAATATATGTTAAAAGCTTATTTTAATCACAGAGCTATAGAGTGACTTTGCTTACGGCTGATGTTGAATCTACTAGTGAAGCTTAGTGAGAAATTAGTGGTTTGGATTAATATTTTCTTTAGAGAACAGAAGACCACAAAACAACAAGAAATTCTGTCTCTTAGAAGCGTTTTGACCTATTTTCACCCTCAGCCTTGAACATTTTTTTATAAATTCCTGGTTTCACTGATGTTGGTGCCATGGGTGGACTGTTTGATGTCTTTCTGATGAGTAACCTTCTGTGTTCTGTTTTGGCGATGTCAATGGCTGTTAGCAGGTGCCATGACCACTAAGGTACGACGCCACGACAAGAGAATCCATCCTTACCAAAGGGTAGTGACCCCAGACAGAGGTTAGTTAGCTCACCAGCCACTTTATGTGTATGTGTATGTGTGTGTGTTAGTGTGCGTGCATGCATGCAGACCAATGGACCAATTTCAGTTTACATGTGTCTGTAATACGGCATGCCTAAAAAGAGAAATAACCGCACCGGGAGGCGAAAAGGTCACACGCTGAAGCAGCTTCAGTGTAAAATGTGAAACAGTATTTGTTGCAGTGAAAGTGAAATAAGTGAGCAGATTGGGAGGAACCATGTTAGGGGTGACAGCTGCAGCGGTTATCTTTTCTCGCCTGTTAGATAAACTGGACGGCTTGCAGGCCGGGACCCTCTCGATTAGAATGGATCGCTCCGTTCATGTGACTCGGTCCTTGTGACTCTGGATTTGGAGTCCTCTCTCAGAAACTTTTTTTTATTGTTTATCTCTTCACTACTACTTTTGACCCTGCAAATAACTGTGGGAAATTTTTATTTATACCCAACTTCATTCCAGTAGATTTCCACAAATGTTTTTTTTTATTATTATTAATTAAATCCTGTGATGTGCCCAATGACTATATGACATTTAAAGTAACAGTGATTGTCTTTTTCTGAAGGTCATTCAATTCAAAATGATCTTTGGTCTTTACTACTAAAACACAGCGTGTGATGACTACTGAGGTCTGTGTTACAAGCTCTTTTGTATGAAATACTGTTGTTTGTGGTCTTATCAGTCGCCCACTGGACTTTATCATTGGGGCTGTTTACATCTTTCATATATTTCCTAGCCAGAGTGGTGCTGTTACCATGTATTTAGCTGCAAAATAAATTTGTATATAGGGATTTTAAGGATTTAAGTGCTTATATGAAGCTTATGGAACAAGATCGCTTGGAAATACTTGTAGTATTTTTTTTTTTTTTTTAGTTTTTTTAGTTTGTAAATTTTTATTTTTGTTTTTACGATATGCTTTTTATAGATGAAGTGTCTCCATGTAAACTTCAAACTTTATTCAAGGTGTGTAGCTACTACTGTTTTAGTCACCACGAAGGTGGCAATGAAGGCAGTGTTTTGCTCTGTCTATTTAAGATGAGGTGACCTTCTCGATTCACAGGCCTCGTGACTGTTTTATGCAATAGAAATGGACTAGCTAGCTACAATATATGTGTGTATGTGAGCGGTGGTGCTCTTGTTGTACACGATGGACAAAAAACACTAAAAGGCAATAAAGATGACTATTGAAAAAAATCTCTAAAGAAAACCAAAGCCTCTAAATTCTTGTAGTTAGTCTGTCTATTGTTAAATTGTTTCTTAAGTCCCTCTAAAATCACCATCTCTTAACCTCTCATCACTGTCTCTTATGGTGCCTCTTTGCTTACTGTAGTCATTAGGTGCTCTTCTAATACTTCATAGCAAAAAAAAATCAAACCATAATCAATAATCAGTTAATCACAACTGTTAATCAACAAGATCCTACGCCTGCTGCTAAACAATAGCTCTACTTGTCAGTAAATTAAAGTATTTCTGAGGCCCAGACACTTTTCTTTGGACATAAAGGTCACTCTCTCACCCACATGAAACCATGCTGTCTCCCTCTCTGTCCATGGTTTCACTGTCTGTCTGTGCTAGACGTAGCCCAGCTAGCATGAGTAGTATCACTATGGCAGCAGTCACACGACAGGAGGGGCATCTCCTCGAACGCAACCCTGCGAACACCTTCATGAGCACATATGAGCATCGCTAACCAGCCATTCCTTATGTCACCACCCGGTGGTTGATGTAAGCCGTTCTGAATGGTTATGCAGGGCTCATGAAGGTGTAGTGCGGCTCTAATGCAATGCCCCTCATGCTGTGTGACTGCAGTAGATCTGCCTTGTTGTCATCCTGACGCCACTAGCTGACACTAATCTCTTTTCTATCTTTTTTTCTTTTTATGTCCCCTTTTATGTGCCCTTTTTGTTTCCTTTCCACGTCTGTCCGTCTCTGTCTGTCTAACTCTAGCTGCCACGGCAACTAACCCATGACCCCTTGACCTTCTGACCTTTCCGCCCACTGATGACCCACCCATCTCTGCCCGCTGGCGTGCTCATTGGCCCACGGCCCCGTCACTCCCTCAGCTCAGCCAACCAGACCAGCACATTGGGAACAACCCGGCTGCTTCTGTCTAACCAACCAACCAGACGACAGCGAACATGGGAATAAACCTCAGGACCCCGCCCATCACCAAGTCCTAACCTAAACTTTACCGAACGTGCCTTCCTTCCAAAAGTCCAAAGCCAGTCTTAGATTGTTTTTGTAACCAATCAACGGTCGAAATCCCAATCTGTTCAACAGTTGTCGTGCAAAACCAGTAGACTTTACTGGGGACGGGCTCCCAAACTGGTGAAGGGCTGCTAAACCAATCCCTGGCTGTGCCAAACTGTCTCTCTGAGCTGCCCTGCCCTCAGTCCAATGCAATAATAATGACTCTATTAATACCATGGTAACTGTACTGATGAAGATGCACTTATCCAGCACAGAAAAACCTCCATAAACACTAAACTAGAGGAGATATGTTGATATTTTGAAGGATTTTTTTCCTCATCGGGCACCTTGTCTAATGTTGGAACCTTTTCCCGCACACACTCTTTAAAGGGATTGCTTCTTTTCTGGGCGAACATACATCAATAACTTATTATAACACATTATAATTGGTGTTAAAATCTTTATGTATTAACACGCTTTCACCCTGAAATGTAACACCAATTCCAATTATGTGTTTAAAATGTTCTTGTTGACACTTTTGTATGAGGAACACTAAAAGAGAAAAGTAAAATGCCATCCCTAGAATCTGTTTTTTTTTTTTTTTTTACCATAATGCAACAGGTGCTCAGTGAGGAAAAATAACAGACTGGAACCCAAAATGCCAAAGTATCTCTGAGTTTTTCTTAAGCATCCCAATACTGAGTCAACATATACAGTATAAATGCCAAGACTGTGCAGCACAGAGAGGGAAGGTTGCACTTCTTTTGTCTAAATCTAGAGGAGTTACACAACGATGCCTTTTTTCACACTACAGTATTGTATGAGTTTCGACAGCAGTGCCTTTATTTATTGAGAGCGATGGAACAATGTTACACCTAAATCTTCTACGACTACATCATGGGTTTGTGGCCCAGCATAAAATTATGCCGTTTGGGTTTTATGCAGATTAATTGGTACTGCGGGGAAATGTGTCACAGCCTAATTGTCATCATCTACATTTTTATGGCTTTACATCCATAACTCTGCTCAATTCAGATTTTTAGTGCCAAAAACAAAACAAAAAGTGGCTCATTTGAATTGAAAGTGCGATGCAGTATTTGAAGCAGCAGCTACAATGTCTGAGATGTTTATGTGAGGTTCGGATGCCTCTAGAGAACAGTGTTATATTTGATCTTTTTTCTTGTTTTTGTTTGTTTGGTTGTTTTGTTGGAGATGAAATCGTCCATATATATATTTTTGCATGTGTGTCCGCTTTTTCAGAAGGTGTGGTACAGTTTTACATACACACGCAAACCAACTGATGCCTTGACGTAAGAAAAAAACGAAACAAATCATGGAGTCGTAACATCTGTAACAAGTTTATAATGTATTTTTATATTCTATTTTGTACGTGAAAATAACATTAAATGAGCTTTTCAGATAAGAACATTATGCCTTATTACGGAGAATAATTTGATGAACATAACTATCCTTCATGTGTCATTAGTAATCATGTCTCAATGTCCTGATATACTGGAGTCTGATGTATTAACTTGAGCCTTTGAGATCAGCATTGCTTGCCTTCTGTGCCTTTTGTATACTATGAGTGTGACAATTAACAGTGTAGTACAACATTAATCTACTCTTCAAGCCAAGTGTAGGTTACTAACTGTTACCACTTCTGTGATCATTAACCACTTTAATGGTATCTGTCTCTGCTTTGGATTCCTTTAAAAAAAAAAAAAAATTACGTGTTTGTGTCTAAAAAAAATGAAAAACAAAGATATGTGTTGAACAATGAACTTTTAACTTTGAGCAGAAATAACTCTTTGTAAACTATTAAACTCATAGTTGTAAAACTAACAAACTTTGTTGCTTTTTCTCTATAGCACTTAATTATGCAAACCAGCTTCCTTTCTGCATACTAATCACCAAATAGTCTTTAGATACCGAGTGGGCAGGGGGGGGGAAACAGCCGACACTTGACAAAATGCAGGGAAAAGGCCACAACGTGTGTGTTTTTTTCCCACTTCTCCTTTTCTGTGTTCTTTTCTCTTGTTTTCTATCTACTCCGGCCATTTAAGTGGACATTACACACATCGATGTGTGTAATAAGAGAGAACCAAACCCACCCAGCTCACCATGGTTTCTCCGAGGCATGCACATGTATAACAGAGAGAAAGAAGGTGGGGAGGGGGGGTTAGGTTTGGAGGACTAGATGGCAGGGGAATTAAAGGGAAATTGATTGTGCAAGCTCGCCCTCAAACATCTGCAGAGAGTAAATATTACACAGGATCACAGCTTGTCCCTGAAGTCTACTGCTAATAACCTACATGTATTATGATAGCTACATTTGTTTTAATTGGGCTCTTTTTATCTCTCTCTATCTCACTTATTAGAAATTAAAATCAAAAAGAGGAAAAGCGTTTTGAGCCTTTGACACTTTAAACAACACATTTAAAGGGTTTCACACACGCACTCAAAAAGAAGAGAGTCACATGGGGTTTTCCGTGGTGAATGCAGCAGTGGGTGGCTCATTCGTCCTCTCCCTGCCCTTCCTGCTTTCATTGTGGAGTTGGGGGCTGATATTGAACTTCAGGCTTGGAGTTGAGCCTGCTCTGTGGCCGCAACCCCAGCCCCCTGATCACAGAGAGAGAGAAAGAGAGAGAGAGAGAGAGAGAGGACATAATGTGACCGCTGCAGACAATCCTCTGGACAGGAAGAAGCAGAGTGGAAGATAGCAAGAGAGAGAGAATAAAATACTCTGTGTGTGTGTGTGGATATGGATGGGTGGGGGTGAATGTGTGTTTGGATGGGTGTGTACTCTTGTCTTTTTTTTTTTCTCCTGTGTTTTCAGTCAAGTTTTCGTGCTGTGTTTTTTCCCTTCTTGTTCTACTAGTCTGGTATGAAACACTCTTCAAGCATCTGGTAATGTATTCTGCAGTCAGCTCTCGCCATTGCCAACACTGGGGCCCAGAGCTCCCAGCGTTTACAATCAAAAGCATGGTTGTGTGTGTGTATGTGTGTGTGCGTGCATGGGTATGAACGTGAGGGGAAAAGACAGGTTGATTTACATTACTATGTATGCACGGCATTCTCCACATAATGAACAGCTCCAGATTTCCTCTGCTTGGTAAATATTTGATGACTGAGAGGCAGAATGATTCTAGCTGAATAACAGTGGAGTCCTATAAGCTGCTCAAAAGTTGTATTTCAAACCCCTCTCTCCCTTGTCCTCTTCCCATGTAAATAAGGCCAACTCCCCCTAACTCCACACACCCCTCTGAGGCAGTTTAAAGACCCAACACTGTCTCCTTGTCTCCTTGACAACCAGCATACACTGGGGTCCTGTCGTGGCCTCTCTGTCTTTTGTGTTTGGGAGCTCAGAGAGACAGAAAGAAAGAGAGAGAGAAAGGGGGAGAGAGGAAGAGAGGAAATGAGGGAGAAGATGAAAACAAGAGTGGCTGAAAAAGTTAACAAAGATGACATCACAGCTATTTTATCCCACAACTGACGATGATGATGATGATGATGATGATGATGATGATGATGATTAGCCAAAGGCACAAAATGGGTGCCAGCTCAGTCTGAGAGTGTGAGCAGAGAGAGAGAGAGAGAGAGAGAGAGTGAGAGAGAGAGGCCCAGGGCTGAATGGGGCATTGTGGGAAAGACAGTGGGCACACTGGGCAGTAACACAGAGAACACTAACTCACAGATCATGCCAGAGAGTCTGAAAACACCCACACTGGGCGACAATGGCAAACTTCATCGCTCCACTTGGCCCCTTCTGAATACACACATACAATGGCAGAATCCAAATAAGATGCTCTGTTATTCGTGAAATTCAACACACTAAATTCCTTCAGTGCCTGTGTCCCTTTGACCGGCAGCAGATGGCCGAGGCTATGCTGCATAAACGTGCACGTACGTGTGCATGCGTGTGGTCTCTCGGTTGCATCATGGGTAAGTATCCGGTAGGTCTGGAAGGTGGGGAATCGTGCATTTCAAGGCCGGACAGGTGTCATGTGGAAGTTGTTCAACCTCTCTGCTTTAAGAGATGCAAACAGCATCATGCAAATCCAACTTAAAACTGCCATGAGTGGAAAAAAATTTAACTAAATCAGCCAATTAAATTAGGCCTAATTAGGATGACTGAGGAGCAGCAGAACCAACAGGTTTGACCTTTTACTGTCAGCTCTCTGCTGCCTCCTTGTGTCACACATGAGGAACTCCACTTTAAAAAGGGCTTTTTTACTTGTACCAGCTTGTTAAGTATTTTTATATACATGTAAATTCATCCAGTTTGAACAGTAACATCTGATTTCTCTACAAAACATACATTGAGAACACTGAAAATATTGTTTCTTGTTATTTTCATAAATATTTTAAGCAAATTTAAACAATATATAAGCCCATTAGAGTCTGTTGCACTCTTTTGTTTACAGTAGAAAATGATCACACGAAAATGTATGTATTTATTTAAAGGACCAGTGTGTAAGATTTAGTCGCTGATTGCAACTGTGATGCATAAGGAGAGGGAACTAGAAAACTCTATACTGAAAAATGTATAAATACATTAATAGAAAAAAACCAATAATTTAGATTAAACAAGCACATGATCATTTGTTGACCTAATTTGGTCAATGGGTGCAGCACGCAATCGACTTTTAAATTTCCTGTTAGTCAGAGTGCATGCATTTGGTGGTTAATACTCAAAACCTGACTCCTAACAGTAATCTCTCTGCAATGTTTATTCATATAATATTAAGTCTGTGTGTAACTGGCAGCATGTGTTTCTGATCTCTGAAGCTGAAGCTGAAATTTGGACTTTCTGCTTGTGTGCAAGTGCTGTCCGTGGCATTATTATGTGAACTTTTATTCAGAGGTGTGTTTATGTAGGCAAACTTATGAATCTTACATCTGTCCCTTGAGCTGAATATCTTGCCTCCCCCAAGTCCCTATCTACAGATACACAATTAATTCCTATATTTCAGGTGATTTATTTACACTAATGAAAGCGATACTTTATGGAATTCATTTCTACCAATAGATCCTCCTAAGTGTTACACACTGGACCTTTAAATATAATTTTATAAATGAATAAAGTTTGGCTTAACTGAGCTTAAACTAAAGATTCATTCAAGGTCCTTTGGTATTCTTTAATAGTGTATTTTTGGAGCAAAAAAGAAATGTCTGTAATAGAAAAGAAATAGAATAGAAATAGTTTGGCTGAGCCACCACCTACTTAGAAAATAGAAATGAATCTATATTAGTAAATAGGCTAATGGTCTCACACCTCTCATCCTTCTAAAGTTAGGCAGCAAAAAAGTGCCACAAACTGCAGAGATCATCAACACCATAACTGTCACTGTGGAGGGAGGTTTGACAACAGGCTATGAACACAGCGTGGTAAACATCCCCTTCCTGTTTTGTGGGCACAGAGTAAAAGCCTGTGTACCTCAATTTTAACCAGCTCCATTAATAAAAGTGTTTTGAATACACACTATAATCCCCATGGTGATAGTGAAAGTGATAAATAAATCCAATACACATGTGGGTGTGAGTAAAATGCATATACTTAAACACACAGCGTGCACGTACTTGAGCGCACACATACTTAAATTAATTATGGGCTGCACAATTAATCGAAAATATCATCACAATATGAACATGTGCAATATGCAAATCACAGAAGCTGCAGTTGTTTAATGAAACATGTGACATAACAACACTATAATGAAGACGCCCTGGCCTACAAATCCACTAATTGTGAATCATATTGCAATTGCAATAAAAATAATTGCAATCTGAATGTTTTATCTTGCAGCTCTAATTTAAATATGTGAGAATACCTATCACTTAAATGTGTGACACGTGATTTGGTTGGTAAACAACTCAGATACATAGTAGAGCTGCTTTGAAGAGGTTACCAGCACATTATCACAGCAAGTTGGACCTCTAATATTCTTCTTTTTCTATCTGCTTCTGGAGCCAAACCACCTGTTGAGCGAGGGTCTGCAGCCATCTGAGGATCCTCACCCCTGCTGCTGCGGTGGCCACCTCCCCTCTCTCCAATTTTTCCACTTTAGTTCCCTTAGTTGTTTCACATGTTGCCCCACTTGATTCTGTCGTCTGGGCTGTTGGTTCTCTCTGAGCCATGCTCATCTTTCCTCGCAGACAGCCTGAAATCGTTGCTACTTCTGCTCCATAGTAAACAAAACACATTCAAACACACATTAGTGCTTTTAATTTGGTCTAATTTGGTCTTGATTTAGTGATTTTATTCTGAGTTTTAGGTTCAGTAATCTAATTCTCAGTTCACTAAAATCAGTTAGTGTGAACTAGGCTGTGGGCAGCATATAGGAAGAGTCCTGCACTCACACACAGTCAGAATTTGCAGGGAAAAAAGGCTCTACTTAGTTTTATATTTGGTGCCCACTTATGTTCTGAAGTGCAGGCTGGTTTTGGGCCTCAGTCTCTTCTTTTTCTTCTTCTTTTTCTTGTTTTAAGGCGGCTGGCATCCAGTTTATTGGTGCATTGCTGCCCCCTTCTGCTCCAGAGTGTGAATCAGAGAATAGATTTAATCCCTTAAACAAGACAAACACACACACACAGCCCAAACTATGTTTTATCCTCTGTGTTTTACACTCTAGTCTTTCTATAAAATCCCTGTACACATCAGCCACCCTATCACCTATTTCTATATATCGATATATCATATCCTTTAGAAAACCTCTATATCCTTTCAATACAGTACCCTAACCTGTGCTCTCTCACCCATGCGCCCCCCTAATTCCCTCAGTATATTTCCTCATCATTTCTCTCTCTGTGTCCCATTTTACAACTCAACTGACTCTTCTTCCTGTCATCCCTCACATAAGCCGGTCTGATGTTTCCCTGCCATTTTCAGATAGTCTCCACTTTATATTCACATTTCAGTGGCAAATATTATAGTTTTTACTTCATTTATCATTTTTATTTTACTTATTTATCTATTGTTACTTATTCATTCACATATTCAGATTTTATTTTTTATATTACATTACAAAAAATGATATGATTCTACTATTTACAAAGTTAGTAGGTCTGTCTTTGCTATTAGTAGCCGATTTCTGTACTTTTACTTTGAAAACCAAGCTTTTGGGTAATAGTATTTTTACTTTGTGACAGTCTGTTGCTTCTTTCTCTCCCACTAATTATATAATTGACTAAAAATCAGTATTTGCTGTGTAGACTTTACGACTCTCTCCTCCTGCCTGCAGTCAGTTTTATAATGTTCAGGCTGCTTTACGCCGTTTGCCCTTGGGTTAAATAAACAGACCCCAGATCAGCGGAGGTGTCGTAAAATCGCTGGGGCTCACTAACATTATCAAAACGATTTTGTCGCTTTTACTTATCACTTTTAAACCACGTGTGATCTTCAAATCGTGAGATGAAATGTATTTTGTTTACAGAATTTTTATTTTTTTTTTATTTTTTTTACACATTTCATGGTTGGTTTTGTTGACGTAACGACAGCTCGACGTCTGGAGTCGCTTTACGGCAGAGCGTGTTTCTGGAGGTCAGGGGCAAAAAAACGCGAACTCGAGTCCGGTAATCTGACACGAAAAACGGGTGTTTTTACCCAGAAAACTCCCTCAAAGACTCATTATACGCATTCACAGGACAACATCTGTTGGTTGGCGGTGACTCCAGCTGCTCGTCGTTCATCAGTTTGTCTTATATTTTGAGTATTACGACATAGCTAGCGGCGTGCTAACGTTGTAGCCAGCTTCGGCTTTCAGCTCACCTCCTTCCCGGCTCCAGTACTCGACAGGTGAACACACCTTTCGGATCTTTCACGGCCATGGACAACTCACAAGGATCCGGAGGAGCCAAAGCCGGTCTCGGGGGTCTCTTTGGAGGCGGTGCACCGGAATACTCCAACACTGAGCTCGCCGGTGTTCCCCGTAAGAGTCGTCGATAGCTTCAAAACCTTTATATTTCTGTTAAATACACCTGTT